AGCATAACATAATATAATCATTCCACGAAGTGATCCATCCACCTGCCAAAACAATTTTCCGATTTCTTCTCAATTCTACTTCTTCTTCTTCCTCACCATTATTAATGCTCTCTGCTAATTTTGTTCACGAACATGATTAATAACCAAATGAGTTGCCTCAATCAATGATTTCCAATTTTCTACACATGAATGTAGTCCACTTGATCTTCCAAATTTTGGTAAATCACTCGAAAGCCTTTTTCCAAGATTGGTTTAACATGCTCAGAAAGTCCACCTCCATAATCGTTCAGACCATGGACAAAGATTATGTCACTGTTATGTTGTCCTTTGTAATGGTGGTTGGTAGTTTCCATGTTCGATAATGTATGAAATGCTTTTTTGTGCTTTATTATTTAATATTGGTGAAGCGGGAGAGGAAAATGTAATGTTGTGATGTATGTAAATGTATGGTGGTGAATGAAGTGTTTGTTTGTGAGGAGAATATGGTAATGAGGAATTTCCATAAATCAAGTCCTTAATATATGAAGTGCTTTAGAAATAGATTCCAAAAACATACTATAGATAGTATTTTTAGAATATCCAAAGCTTTTGCTTTTAAATTTATTTCAGTCATATTTTTGGCAAATTTGTGGGATGGTCCAAATAATGGTAAATGTGATTAATTTTATGAGGAAGAGAGTTAGGGAAAGACATACGATGAATTGTAATATTTAGTTTTATCAATATGACCATTTAGATCTCGAATTGTCTGATCAATTCCGTCAATATTCTTTCATCGTGTAAAATTTAAACAATCCCGGGTCATTGTTATTGAGCTTGGACTTGGGTCAGTTTTCCTTGAGTAAATGATACATCAAAACTATATTCTTTTCTTATAATTACTCCTCTCTGATATTTTAATTAATATTATTTCTATAATCTTTATAATCCTTCCTTTATTATTATTATTATTATTAACAGTGATGGTTGATCAATTATTCATTAATTTTGTTGACATCAATTATTACTACCACTATCTTTATTTGTTATATTGCAACTTTCTTTATTCGTATTATTATTATTGCTACTATTACATTACTATTATGTCTATTATTTTGAATCCTCTACGTGGCCTGCAAATAAAATGTGCGGTTGGATATTACTATTTTTGTACTTAAAATCAAATTCTGATTGGCTAATTTGAATTTCACGCGCATGAATTTCAAATTGACGCAGATTCCCAAATTCACGCACAACATACCTTTTGTATAATAAAAAAACTTAATGGTCAAGTTTCTTTGAAAATGTTGTATGTGAAATGAAATATGGAGGGATGGGTGTGTTTCTTTGTAAGCATTATGAGAAATAACGATAAATCAATTTATTATAAAATGCGGGAAATTTTCATATTATTTTGGGTAAAAAAAAAAAACAATTGCTAGTGCTATGACTAGAGATGGGCAGATCAGTACTATACGTATAATACTATACGTATAGTGATACGTATAGTGCGTATAGTTCTAGAAAA